TGGAGGAGACGCACGACTCTCAGTCACAGCCTGGCGACGGACGGCATGCTGTCTCTCCCCACCCCAACCTGCTCAGATGCAGAAAGAAGGCCCGGGGGGCTGCAAGAAGCACCAATGACCCGGGGACCCGATCATGTCCATTCTGGGACTACCTCCCTATAGATTTGCCAATCACTTATCCAGAAAACCACTTCGAGCCCTGGTGGCACATTGGTTACAGCAGTCAGCTGCTCCATGGGAGAATGAGGTGGCCATCTGCTTCTGCCAAGACTTCAGATGGGAACCCCCTGCGGAGCAGGTCTGCGCCGTCCTAGCCGGTCACCAAGAGTTGGAAAGGACTGCAGGGTGGTGAGTTCAGTTTTGTGGGTCTGAGTGTCTTTAAAACGATGACACAGAACAAGGAAATGATGCTATTGCAGCTCCAGCCCTTCCTCACTCCTCAAGAAGCTGGCGGTAAGGCTGTGCACACAGGGAAGTGAGCTAGGAAGAGTGCAGTTCATGCCCACTGTCTGGTGAGAACCAAGTACACCCGCAAGTGCAAGCCAGGAAGTGCACGTCGTGGTCTTTTGGTGACTCTGTGTTTGGGGCAAGTGCGCTTCTGTTTGCACTGAAAGGTGGGATGGCACAACCAAAAGATGAGTGGTAAAGATTGCACAACAAAGATGAATGGTAAACTCCAGACGAAGAACGGAAATTTGTCATTTTCCTTTATTTAGCCTGCTTTCAACAGTAAATGAAAACAACAACATTATGACACGTTGCGAGTGAGACTTGGAAGAAAGGTAAAAGCTGCATATTCTAGTTCCTTTCATTACATTTCCCCCTTTCTTAATTGGGGGCCCTGCATTTTCATTTTGCCAGGGGTTAAATTATGTAGGCAGTCACACCTGCTCTTATTTTTCTTTTGAGAAACGAGGGGTGTGTTAGTCTGGGTAGACTAGAGAAAATAAGTTCATAGACATACATATGTGTATAAGGAAGAGCTTTAAGACCAGAGCACGTACACTGGTAAAGATAAGAGCTGGAAACACAGGGAATCCAGGCAGATAAACCCCTCAGGACCAATCGTGAGAGTAGAGATACCAGGAGGGTAAGGGGAAGGTGGGGGAGAAAGGGGGAACTAATCACAAGGATCTACATATAACCCCTTCCCTGGGGACAGACAACAGAAAAGTGGGTGAAGGGAGACATCAGACAGTGTAAGATATGAAATAATAATAATAATAATTTATAAATTATCAAGGGTTCGTGAGGGAGGGAGGATGGGGAAGGGAGGGGGAAAATGAGCAGCTGATACCAAGGGATCAAGTAGAAAGAAAACCGTTTGAGAATGATGATAACAACAAATGCACAAATGTGCTTGACACAATGGATGTGTGTATGGATGGTGATAAGAGTTGTACGAGCCCTCAATAAAATGATTTTTTTAAATAGAAAGAGCTTTATATACAAGAGCAATAGAATATTGAGAAACAAACATCCCAATCCAGTCCAGATCAAGTCCATAAGTCTGATATCAACCCATATGTCTGATACCAATCTATAAAGTCTTTTTCAGACTCATGAAACACACGCAACGACACCAAATGCAGGATGATCACAAGCCAGTGGGCGGGAAGTGTTGTGGATCTAGTGCCCTTGTAAGCATCTCAGTGCTGGCAGGGCTCTCCACGTGGCTTCTCCAGCTCTAACGGTCTGGCTCCATCAACCTCTCTCCATGTGTCTTCTCCACATGGGTTGTCTCGCATACAGTGAGCAGAGAGAGAGAGAGAGAGGACAGAGGGAGAGAGAGAGAGAGAGTCTTCTGCCTTCAAGGAAGGAAAAACAGGAGTTCCCAGAATGCTCAGAAGAAGGCCATGCACATACAGAAGCCCCATTGGCTATGATCTGATTGTCAGGCTAGACTCCACCCCTTCACTTTGAATCCTCAAACTGACACCAGATTATGTAACTACCACAAGGGGTGAGAAGACCAGGCGGTCATTCAAGATGAGGAGGGAGGAAAGTTGAGCTTCATTCTTCTCCCCGCTGGGTGGCCATCTGCTTGCCATCATGGTCTCCAGTGTTGAGTGAAGAGAAAACTGACACTGGTCATCAGATCCACCTCTCAACACCTGTGGCATTTGTCCAATGGCATCTTCAGGTGTGACAGGAGACGCCGGGGGTCCTCTCCCTCCCGGGTGAACTTGTGTGTGGTGAGAAGCCTGCGCGTTCACATGTGCTTTCTTATGGATTTCACACACAGGCATGAATACTGCACATATGTGTCTTCATGTGATAGGTGCTTGGGCACCTGGTAGAACCTCATGTGACAATGTCCAAGACACTGGGGAGAGCAGGTTGTCTGGACAGGAGCCTCTTGGCTGCTGGACACAAGACACCTCTAAGGTAGGCTAGGCACGGTGGCAAGGAGTACGCCACAACCGTGCCTTTCTGTAGCCTGGGTTTCAGGAGTCCACAGAGAGTAGAGAAGGGAATGGATGGGCTTGGGGGGATAGCTTTCCAGAACCAGGTGTTTCTCATACATCCCTGCACGCCAGATGGAAAGAAGCACACATTGACTTAAACTACAAGAAAGGTTTTCTGAGAGGGGCCACAAGTGGCCCATATGCCTCCAAGGTTGGGTAGACCACTCCGCTTGCCCCACTGGCCAAAAAGAATGAGTCATTATACGCTATGTTGGCCCGGTTTCCCTCCCCATGAACTGGTCAGTAAAGATGGACTTGCCCCCACTCTCCATGTCCGCACAGCCTTCAGAGGGATGCCTTCGTTAGCTGGACAATGCTTCTTACCAACAGTAGGCTTCGCGCCCCCATCTCTCCTCCAATCCCATTCTTCATCCTGTTGCCTTGACAATGGCATGCCAATTCTAATTTCCAAGCTCCCTCCCAACATCTCCCACCCTTTGCTGAAAGAGATGCATGGCTCACATTTCATCCGGTGACTCAGCCAGGCCCCTCCCCCCTCCCCCCTCCCCCCCACTCCAGGAGGAAGGGGCCACGTCTTTGTACCTTCCTGGAGAATCACATCCCCAGCCAGGTGGTCTCTGCCACGCCCCCCTCACCCTCCCACCCCACAGGCCCAGTCCAAACAAAACAAAACAAAATATCCACACCATCACCTTTTGACCTGTCTAATATTTCCAAGCACTTGTTCCCCAGACACTCAAAAGGTATCCCCAAGTTTCTATTTACAGCTCGAGGGGATATTCCCTCCCTCCCAAACAGACTTGTGTTCCCTCTCCCCCAGAGTGGCTGCTCTTTGGAGTGGTGGTGATTCAGCTTTCCTGGAAAATCATTTGCAGGGGAGAAACACAGCACCACAGCTGAGAGCGCTGCTCACTTTCTTAGAGGAAAAAAAAAGTCCTGCTCTCCGGCTGACACAAGGAATTCCCACTGATCAGCTCTGGCCAACCCCAGGGACTGACTCCCCCCCATAAGACCTACAGCTGAGGATAGACGGTGCAGGGTGGGGTGGGGTGGAAGGGATCCCTTCAACCTCTGGTCCAGTTCAACTCTGGTCCCCAAGGTCAAATGGCTGATGTTCAAAAGTCCCCTTCTCCATCCCTCCACCCCTCTGGCCCCAGCACCTTCCTCACAAGAACCACCACCCCCGCCCCGGAAGGATTTGCCCCATCAGAATATCCCTGGAAGACCCTGTCAAAAGGGATCTTCTCAGGAGAAACACTTGTTGATAACTCCCTGGCTTTGCTCCGCAGCAGGGAAGGCCAGCGATGAAAACCAACGGTGGGCTTCCGACAGACCTCCGTCTCCACCTGGCCCCCAGCACCACCCAAGCCCGACCCTCATAGCCCCCCTCCCACAGACTCTGCTACAACCCACTCCCAGTCTGCTGCCTGTCAAGTGGGCACCACCACAGGAGCATCAGCTTCCTAACGCAGCAGCGAGGCCAACCTGTTTCCCAGAGTGGAAGCCACCCTGGCTGGGTGCCAGCGGGGGGCCCCCCCCCCAGTTCTCCAAGCCCTCCACCCACTCTGGAAGTCACCCTCCACCCTGCTGAGCAGAGGCTCCCCGGCGTCCAGGCTGCAAAGTTTGCCAGGCGCCCTTTCTTTCCATTGCCAGTCCTCCAAAATTATGCATACAGAATTCCCTCTACAGGTGGTTGTGGGCTGTAGCAGTTTCTGCTCTTGCAATGGAAATTCATTTTCTTTTCTTTCTCTTTTAATTTCATTTTCACCACTGCGAGGCTTTTAAAAATGTTGCTGTGGTTGCTTACACCCACCCAACAGGTAGCATTTTGACTAAATAGAAAGCAAGAGAAAATTCTCCGCCACAAATGTTAGTGGCGACCATCACCCCAGTGCCCCCCCACGCCCCCACTTTGCTCTGACTTCATGAAGCCTTGTGGAACTAAAATTTCATGTGTCAAATTATGACAAGAATGAAGACATTGAGTGAATGAGAATCACCCCCAAAATATGGCAAAAGTGGAAGAAGCACTTGCTGACAACCCCTCCTACCCACCCTCTCTCTGGTACACCATGCCCCCCCAACACACACACACACACACACACACACACACACACACACACACACACTGGAGGAGTGGGGCACAGGACAGCATTTTCTCCCCAGTTTTAACACCACAGTGTCTGTCTTCCATCTGACATCTGCCTCCTGCAAAAAACCACACACACACACACACACACACACACACACACACACACA